AACTCGATGGAAGCACGCCTGACCTTCCTGAGTTTGTCCCATGCGGCGGGCGGCAGAACAGGCGTGAAACGCAGAACAGACAGAAGCCACAGGAGAACGAGAAGAACTAGTAAAGAGGGCGTGCACGTGGAGCCGAGGAAATAAAGAACACCACCTCAAAGATAACATGCACGCAACTGCAAATAAATAACACAACCTGCACAAATCCCGGAGCAGCGCGCGACAGAAACCAAGCCCCGGTTGCTTTCAATCCGAAGGAGGGGAGACAGGGGGAAGGAAGAGACGAGGCCAGGGAGAATTGTCGAATGCGTTGTGTGTGAGCATCCCACATGGTCCCTGGCATCATATGTAGGAGCAGGTCGCACATAACAGCAAGCAAGCGGGGAAAGTGCAGCACACGACAGATGAAAGCCTGTCCCGGCACGAGCGGGGCAGCGAGAGCAAGACGAGAGGAAGCTGGGCGAGGATCGCGCACCAGATGAGATATGAAGTCGAAGCTACCCCGAGTTTCTCAATAAACGCTGGGAGGGCGTCACCAACGCCGACAGCCCCGCATCGACCCCCGTCGCGGGCAGCCACCGCGCGCCGAAGGCGCTCTGACCCCCGTCGCGGCGCGACGACGAGGCGAGGTTGACCCTCGTCGGGGGGATACACCCCCTTCTCCTCTTCCTCCTCCTCCTCGTCCTCGTCCTCGTCGTCGTCCTCCTCCTCCTCCTCCTCCTCCTCCTCCTCCTCCTCTCCTCCTCCTCCTCCTCCTCCTCGTCTTCGTCCTCGTCCTCGTCCTCCTCCTCCTCCTCCTCCTCCTCCTCCTTCTCCTCCTCCCCCTCCTCACCCTTCGAGCCCCACGCTTACCAAGAAGCCCAGAGTGAGCCGTGCGGATGCGGCGATGCCGCAGGGAGGCCCGCCGGCGGCGGCGACCCGCCCGGGCCAGGAGCGGCCTCCTGTGCGGAAGCGGCTCGCAAGGACCGGGCGGCGCACAGCCCACCAGCGACCCCCAAGGTGCACGAGGCGCCCCATGCGCCAGAGAAGGGAGGAGCGCCACACCAGTCGGCGCAGCAAGAGGTCGGATGCGGCCGAGGCACGCCCAGCTAAGCACCGCGCCCTGCGCCGAAGAAAGGAGGAGGAGGAGGAGGAGGAGGAGGAGGAGGAGGAGGAGGAGGAGGAGGAGGAGGAGGGGGGAGGAGGAGCTTTTGGCTCCCCCCCCCGCTCCGCGAGGGCGTGGGAGGCCTCCCACAGCGACGTGCCCGTGGCGCGCCAGTCGGCCCGCCGCGGATTCCCCGTTGCGCGCTGCGCGCCTCGCCGCCTCGGCGGAGGGAGGAGGGGCGGGGGAAAAGAAGGGCGGGGAACACAGCAGCACTGCTCGCCTCACAGGTGCTGCTCCACCCCATGGGTGGGTCGTACTGCTCGCGCCACTCTCGGAAGCCGGGCGAGGGCTGCTAAAACCGTGGCTGCTAAAACGGCCCTCCCGGAAGGAAAAAACAACTTCCCGGAATGAGGCGCGGCACGCGAAACAGTCAACGGGCTTCTTCCCGGAAGGGCGAAGACAACTTCCCGGAGGTCGATTTTAGCAGCCACGGATTTAGCAGCCCCTGCCCAGCTTCCGACACTCCTGGGTCTCAGGATAGTGCGTCTGTGCAGGCCCCATCTCGTTATAGCGCCGTGCTCCCGCATCGTGGTGCAGGTGGGCAGCACAAGCCATATCCCAGCGTGTGCGCGCGTGCGCTCGTGGATGACATTGCGATGCAATGGCAGGGGCTCATTCCAAGGAGGCCCAGGTCTTGAACACGTGTGTGCGACAACTCAGTGGTGACGTGCTCCCCCTCGGTCTGGTTCTGCAGCAACACAAGTCTGGCTTAGTGGCTACCTCGGTGAGGGCCTCCAGTTGTTTCCACAGCGGGATCAACTGCATGCGCCTCAGGCTCAAAAACAACATCAGGAACCTTGGGCATAAGCTCCACGGGGTCCGAGTCTCGAGGGTCCACGAGAAGATTCGAATGAAATCCTTCGTGGCTCGCAAGAACAAGATATGGCAACCTCGGGAGTCTGTACACGAGAAGGTCGGGGTCCTCTGGAGAAGGGGTATCCTGCCGTCGGTAGGACACGGTACTGGAGTCAGCGGAAACGTCAGACACTGTGCTCACGCAAGTGCGCACCTTTACAGGCGGCATGGTTGGTGCTGCTCAGAATTCCTCACTCACGCTCTACCTTGCTACACGTAATGATGTTCATGTTAATGCTGATCCTATTTTCGATTGCACCACGCTCCTGGTGAAGCGCTACACGAGTGTGATCAGGGATGGTGCTAGTCTTATGTCTGCTATCTGTGTATATACATATCTATGATACAGATCATGCGTGGCGATGTGCAGCGGATCGCTTCGCGGATACCAAGCCGACCTTGCGGATGGCTCGAGGGCCGGTTACAGCGGTGTGGCTGACTTTTGCGACGTATCAATTGGAGCATGATGAACCCTACCGACCTGGTCGACGACAAAAGGCAGATGTACTCGCTGTACCGTGTTGCGCCCAAGGACATCGAGACCAGGCTGATCGAGTCAATTCGTCGCTGGCAGACCGCGCGGATGTTGGCTCACCTGCCAGAGAGAGAAGATTCGGCGACGAAAGGATATGGCGTCGAGCTCTACGGCACGCTACGTGTACCATCTTGGGCCCAACGAGGTTCAGTTCACAGGTTGTGGCCAGGCGGCCTTCTTTGCCTAGATCGGGCTTTGTCAGTTCAGCTCAGAAGTCACGCGAATGCCACTACTGCGGCCCTTGGAAGGGCACCCTGTCGCACCAATGGACTTGTTGTGAAGCCTTGCTGCAACGTTCAGATTTACTTCCAGAGCCGATCCCAGAACAAATTGTTGAGTTCATAGGTGGACGGAAGAAAATGATCGACGACAACTTGGGCGACCCTGACACAGTTGAGCTGACATACGGCATCCCGCTTGAGCCGATGCAGCCATCGTTGCCATCTGAGACGCCCGAAATCAGATCGTAGTGTGATGCTGATGGCGAGTAAGGCCCAGTCAGTCACACAGACGCGTCAGGTCTGCACAACGGGCATCCTACATCGTGCCGCGTGGGTTGCTCGGTGGTCCAGCTCAGTCTCACGACGGGATGGCCGATCAGAGCACGCTATTAGGGGGGATTGCCAGGGGTCGATCAGAGTGTTCCGCGTGGAGAGAGGCATGCAGGGCTGAAGGCCCTAGAACACACGCAGAGACCAGGTATAGCGGTTTCCGATCACAAAGAGTTCTGCGGACGAGGCGTCCAGTTGGGATGCCTGCCTGGCCAGCTCTTCGTGCAAGCCCGCGGCCAGGGTGAGCCGCCACGCCGAGCGCAGTGGCCGCCCGCGTCAGGCTGGCGCCCACCGCCCCCCCCCCGTCGTCTGGGTGGGGCCCGTTGCGTGGTCTGGGCTGCACCTGTGTGTTCTGGATCGGCCTGCGGGCTGATCCCTCCTCCTCCTCCTCCTCCTCCTCCGCCTCCTCCTCCTCCTCCTCTCCCCTCCTCCTTCCTCCTCCTCCCTCCTCCTCCGCCTCCTCCTCCGCCTCCTCCTCCTCCTCCTCCTCTCCCTTCCTCCTCCTCCTCCTCCTCCTCCTCCTCCTCCTCCTCCTCCTCCTCCTCCTCCTCCTCCTCCTCTCCCTTCCTCCTCCTCCTCCTCCTCCTCCTCCCTCCGGGGCCTCAGGAGATCCCGGGGCGCCCCGCCAATTCGGCCACCTCCAGTTCCTTCGGGTTCGGTTGGGACTGCTGGACTGGGACCCCCCTCCTCCTCTTCTTCTTCCTCCTCCTACCTCTTAACTCCTACCTCCTGCCTCCTATCTGCCACCTCCTACATCCTACCTCCTATCTCCTACGTCCTACCTCCTGCCTACTATCTCATATCACCTACCTCCTCCTCCTCCTCCTCTTCCTCTTCTTCACCCTTATTCTTCTTATTATAGGTATCATCATTGTTGTTGTTGGTATCATTATTATTACTACTATTATTGTTATTCAGTATTAGTAATATTACTACTAGTATGACTATTATTAGTGTTAGTCATGTTGGTTACACTTCTTCTGATTAGTATTATCGTCACTACTATTCTGGTTAATAGTAATAATAATATATAAGCCGTATTGATGATAGTATCCCAGTGCGACCCTACCTAGGAGTTGGAGCCTCTAGGAAAGCAACATTAGTAGGAGCGGTAAACGCCGTCCTCCTCCTTCTCCTCATCGTAGCAGCAATAGTGGATGCTGTGCTGCGCTATGCTATGCTATGCTATGCTGTGCTATGCTGTGCTATGCTCTGCTATGCTATGCTCTGCTATGCTATGCTGTGCTATGCGATGCTGCGCTGTGCTATGCTGTGCTGTGCTGTGCTGCGCTATGCTATGCTATGCTATACTGCGCTATGCTATGCTATGCTGGGCTCTGCTATGATATGCTGTGCTGCGCTATGCGATGCTACGCTATGCTATGCTATTGCCTGCCCTGCTATGCCAAAGCTCAGCGAAGCTAAGATGAAGGTAAGCTAAGCTAAGATAAACCTGACCGAACATGAAGCTAAGCTAAACTAAGATGAAATAAGCTAAGCTAAGATGAGATAAGCGACGCTAAGCTAAGGGGTCGTAACTGGGGGAACCGCGGGGCGGATACTGGGGGAACCGCCCCGGGCGCTTTCCACTGCCCGGCCCCTTCAAGCCCGGAGAGTAAGAACCCTTCTAGGCAGAGCCTAGGTAGGGAATTATTCTTAGTGTTCTTACTATTGATATTATCCTCTGACTTCGTCTTATTATTCTTCTCCTCCTCCACCTCCTCCTCCTGCCCCCCCTCTTCTTGCCCCCCTCCTCCTCCTCTCCTCCTCCTCCTCCTCCTCCTCCTCCTCCTCCTCCTCCTCCTCCTCCTCCTCCTCCTCCTCCCCCTCCCCCTCCCCCTCCTCCCATCCTGCCCCATCGTGCCCCTCCCTCGCGCCTCTTCCACTGCGCCTGCACCCCCGCACGGCGGCCGCGTCACGGGCACAGCGCGCACGAGCTGCGCTCCCGGCGCTTCTGCGCGCTCCGGCTCCGCTGCGCGTCGAAGGGGTCCTCCGCCCGCGCGGGCGCCGGCCGCAGGGGCCCAGAGGGGAGAGGAGAGGTGGGCGAGCGATCGAGCGGTCGAGCGCGCGAGGATCGAGGGACTGGAGGTCGAGCGGCCGAGGAACGAGGATCGAGCGAACGAGAATCGGGGACCCGGCGATCGATGGCCGAGGTCCGAGCGACCGAAGAGCGTCGAGAAGAGCGAGCTCGGGGGATGGGGGAGGAGGAGGGAGAGGACGGGGGGGAGGAGGGTCGGCAGGAGGGGAAAGAGTAGGAGGGAGGGGAGGAGGAGGAGGAGGAGGAGGAGGAGGAAGAGGAGGAGTGTAATGGAATGGAACGGAACGGAATGGGATGGGATGGGATGAAATGGAATTGAATGGGCACTTCAGGCAGCAGCGTTCAAACAGACCAGCATGGAAGGAGAAGAAGAACGGGGCAGGAAAAAAAAAGGGGAGGGAGGCGTTTCACCCGCCGCTCTCATCCTCCCCCCCCCTCCCCTCCGATAGGGGGCCACATGCGAACCCTTCCCCATACCCCCCGCGATTTCTGAGGGAGAGGGTGGGGTTCACTCCGCTCGGGAGCTCCCGAACGAAGTGAACCCCACCCTCCCCCTCAGAAATCGCGGGGGGTATGGGGAAGGGTTCGCCTGTGGCCCCCGCCCCCCATCGTCAGTGCCGCTCCACGCGTGTGCGCTTCCGTCCTCCGGGTGGGTGCCCTGTGGAACGGTCGAGCCTGGGGCCGTGACCCCGATTCCTGGGGATCGCCCCTTGCGGCGGGGGTGGAGACCCACTCCTCCCTCCT